GACCATAATGCAAGTATATAAATTTTAGCTCTTCGTTCAGTTTATATGACGAAGAAATAAAGTCTCTAAATTTGGTGGTTTCCTGTTTGTAGCATTAGACCACTAATTTGCATCCTTAACAATATTACCAAAACATTATATGTGTCATAATTCATTCTATGGACTATGTTGATGTATGATTCATGTAACATATAGGTTTAACCCTCATATTTTGTCTATTATCGCTTTTAGGTATATATATACTCTTGAACCCATCAGTTACGATTTAAAAGTATAGATGATCTTGATGTAGAGGGGATTAGACTTCATGAGGCAATTTGTAATGGAAGTACCCAACCCATTTCTACAATTGACAAGATTACCCCATTTTGGTGCTGAATGGACCCTTATATTACTTAGATGCACTTAACCTGTAATAGCATGAATATTGAATTAAGAACCAAATCTTATTGATTTTTATGTTAAATTTTTTAGGGGGTGAATATAGGATATCAGGATATATGCATGAATGATATTTGAATAAATAGATATTATCAAATAAAATGTGAATATTGGGGAATGAATGTTTTGAGCCAGTACATTGAACCAATGTCTTGAATCAAAGTATAAATAGAAGAGGGGTAGAAGATATTTCTCATGGCAAAATGAGATAGAATGTTGTATTTCTTCTTTACTTTATGGAGTGAAAGAGAACTTAGGCCTCATGGTGATGCTACAACTAGCTTTCATGATGATGTACTAGAGGCACAGAGGCCGATCCCATACATGTTTTCTTTGTTTCAGTGTGCTGGTAAGAATTACAGTTTCAATCTATTTGACTTTCTTTTCATCTAACTTTAGTTGTTCTCATATGCTATAGATGGTTCTTTTTACTTTCAGCTCCATATATACATATGCAAGAGTATACAAATACATATCTTTCAAATTTACCTTTTTCATTTAGAGAACTCACAATTAATACAATATATGTTTTTTATATTTTTATCTCTTGATTATGTTTTTTCCCTTCTCTTTGATAAAAAATTATAACCAATCACAAGCTAACTAAATTTTATGTTTCAAAAATAATTTTACTCAATAAAAAAATGAATGGTGCTAAAAATATTTCTGGAGTTTAAAAAGGATAATGAAAGGAAGAAAACTAAGATTCACTCATTACTTCTGATATAAATTATTGGGAAATAATCACTCAGCAAATCCAAGAACCTAAATATATTTTTATAATTCACCTTCAATTTACAAACCAATAATTACTTCTTAGTACAAATCTTCAACTTCTACAAGAATAAAAATGTTTCATTCCCAAATTGGAGTTGCAATTGTGCAATGTGATGCGCACCAAAATCGATTACATATACAAATTTTGATAAGTTTCAGGATAGTTCTTAACTTCTTATCACTTTTACGAAAAATCTAGGTGCATCCAATCTTTTAGAATTCCATGACTAGTCAACTTTTTTGAATGCATAAGTTATATAAATAGTTTAGATACTACAAATGGCGCTCTGCACAGGCGCTTACCCTAGCATTTCAAAGAAAGGTAAGCCTCAAAAATATTTTCGTACTTTTTAATTTTCAAATTTACCCGTCTTTTATGCAAATGTGATTTTGCTTTTTTTTTGAATTTTGAGAGTTCACATTTTTGTTTATGAAGATGACATCAAGTGGGGGAAAGGAAACAGCAGATCCGACACAAAATGAAGCGGAAGAGTATATTATGAGAGATCCTAGACCTAAAAGGAGTCAACAGAAGAAAAGAAAAGAGAAAGCAATAGTAATCCACTAATTTGATAGAAAAGAGTAGAGTGGGATTGTAAAAAGGTCTAATTATATAGCCTTTGTTGTAGAAAGAACCAAATTCTTATAAAATTTGTGGATGTAGATTGGATTTACATAACGTTCACTTGCTATAATTGTATGAACTTACTTGGTATTTCATTGTTATAAATTCTTGTGAAATATTTGCGAGTGCTGCAATTGTATGAACTTACTTGGTATTACATTGTTATAAATCTGTGTGCAACATTTGCGAGAACTCTTGACGCTCAAGGTGGGTCATATAGATGTAATTTTTTCTCATTATTTATCAATGAACAAATAGGATAGAATAATGTGTATATCTAAGTAGAGGAGACCATGAAAGTATACAAATTTCATAAGAAGAAATGACAAAAATATTGCATGAAAATAATTTGATGATTGTTACCCATAGAAGGTATTTTTTTAATATTTTTATCCAAACTTAAATCACACTCAAATTCACTTATCCATCTATGATGAAGTTTTCCATCAAACTCAGTTAAGACCTCAAACTAATAATCCAGTTTGATTTTTAAAATGACATTTACTCTTACACCAACGAAGTACGTACCTACTATGCTCCAACGTGATATGAACTGATGTGATTGTGCACGTTATTCTTAACAATTCAACATAATGGAGAGAGTCCATCTGTTGCAAATCGTTGATGCTTTAGAGATTTTTTTTATAAGGGTAACATCAATGTTATTTGTTGCAAACCGTTGATGTTTTAAGCATTGACCCCAAATCTTGCATATCCTATTTCAAAATACTAAAAATAATAACGTCTCCAGATCAACAACTCAAATCATTATTGTATCCAAAATACACCTAATATTAGTCCAAAAACTTGGAGATCCGACAACAAGAAGACAAGTAGCTTGATACAAGATCGCTTTACAACAATGACTGAAAAGTCGTTTAGCGAGCTTTTCCATCTCTCGAAGAAAGATCTACAGCCATATTTAAACCAATGCACTCAATACTTGGTATATGTTGGGTATGTTGCTCACTTTTGGGGTATCAGGGGTATCATAACCAAATATTCATCATATCTACAAATTGCATACCCTTTTTTTTTTGCTATGGTGATTTTGGCAAAAAGTAAATCATTTAAGGTGTGGATTAAGAAGCCAAAGCACAACGTAGTTATCAAGAACGTGCAAACTACAGAGCTTCAGGCTGTTGGAATCTTCTAACATCTATTTTATACTAAAACCTATTATAGACTCAATTACACTAGCCTCGGTCCAAAAGTCATCTAGAAAATCTAGTTTACATCAGAATGTATTCCAATATTAAACAAGGAATGTATGGAAATATTTTATTGCACACTATTTCTTCTCCTCAGTGTGCTTGTGTCTTGATTTTCTATTCATGTCGCATGTAGTCTAGATGTTACTCATATGCATGGATCAAAACGCAAGCTCTTTTTCTAGCTCTAGCGTCTGTTTATCACCAGATTTCAATGCAAATAAATAAAGGATTATAATTGCAAAAATCTCATTAAAAAGGTTGCAACATAGCCTAGAGTTATTCTTTTAATCATGTGTTTCTACGGGCGCCGCTAACTAGTATACAAACATCAAATTAAGACTCAATTACGGAATACCAAAGTTGTATTCTTGACACTATTCTATAACGTTTCTATTAAGAATAGGTACTGAATCAAGAGATGTAATTAATCAGGATTATTTGCGGATGGGTCCCTATAGTTCTAATTGTGCGGATAGCATGGATAGCCCCCCCCCCCCCCCAAAAAAAAAAAAAAAAAAATTTGCCTCTTAAAAAAAGTTTAGAAAAAGTTTGTAGGGAGACAAGTCCCCCAATTGCTAATTATTTTAACTCTTAAAACTAAAAAAGAGTAAAAAAATGCTTGCTGAGGGGTCTATTCATAGATGGGTAAATACTACAAGGGGTCTATCGATACAATTAGAACTACAAGGGGCCAATCACAACTATACAATACTACAAGGGATCTATCCGCAAACCTAATTAATTATGTTATCTAGATTCCAAGACTCGTGTCTAATGGTTACTTCCAAAATTACTAAGATTCGTACAATTAATCATGTAATGCTAATGTCTATATATAAAGCATGGATGTTTTTGTAAAGATAATGAACATTGAAAGGAAGAAATGTGCTTGTTACACGACCAGGTTCTTCCAGCTGCCTTCTCCTCTATTATCTTAAATACTTCCTTCATTACACTATGTACTACCACAGATTCTTCCAATAAAAAGTCCACAAGTCCTCACTATTGCTATCTTAACAACTTGATAGCAGAGCTTTGATTCATCGCCTCCGATCTGTGTTCCCCTATTATTCCTTTGGTTTAATTATGTGTGCACCCTGTACTACACCTTCAACTAACTCTCTAGAAACTATAAAGACCTTAAGCACTTTTCATAAAGAATTGGTTGGGGGCGGGAAGATCAAGGGAGAGAAAAGCACATTTTAGAGTCAAATTTAACAATATCTCAAACTTGCTTAATGCTAGTACGGTTGCAAGCGACTTCAATTGTGTGTTTCTTAGTTCCTACAGAAAAACATCAGCAGGTTGATCAACTATCCTCCGCGAACATTACCACCGGGCACAACACATGGTCATCATCCCTTCTACCAATAATTAGGAGCATGTTGTTGAATCCAAAAGTTATATAATTATTGTCATTTTAAAGTTCAAGGCTCATATTTAATTAGGCGCTGATTACAAAGCATTAAGAATCATATGGTTAGTCATGTAAGCCTATATATACCTGTTAGATGTGTCTGAAAAAATTGTGAATGTTCAAATAAAAGAAATCTGCCTTGTTTGATAATTGGATCTTCTAGCTATCTTCTTCCTCTATTCTCTTGAATCCTCAAATATTACCCAACATCAGGGACATACACCCTTTGCCAGAGGAGCTAAGAGGTGTGTTGCCGTGATCCATGTAAGTAAGAGCATTTTGTGGTACAAACCATAAGTTAAGGGGGGGAAGCAGATACTAAGGAATGAACGTTATGATGGTTTCAAGTGGGTGGCNCACCACACACAAACACAGGAAAAAAATCTTTTTCTTGTTGAAGACACAAGGAGATGGTTCACATATTGCGGAGAAAGTAATCGAACAATGTTCACACCGAATATATGCCTGGAAGCTAGTAGATAACACAGAGCGCACAGAACCACTCAAAGAATAAACTAATACTGACCTGCTGCATTGTTGACAGAAACGCTGCATAACATTATTCACCATCGCAGAACTGGCCTTGGAGTGCATCTCACAGACCTTGTGCCGCCTATGGTAATCCTTCGACTCACTCAAATCAGCCCCGCATCCCTCCACTTGACAACGAGGCAACCGACTTGAACTTCCCCCTTGTAACTTGCTTTTCTTCTCATTACTCCCTTCCCAATTTGCGACGTCTGCTTCCACCACCGGATGATAAGCACTTCCCCCAAGATTCAAAGTAAGAGAACCAACTACATTATCATGGTGTTCCTCGTCCTCGATGGGTACAATCCTCCTCCTCTTCTCCGGTACACCTTTGCCCTTCCCAAAATCGGTCTCTTCGGAGCAGGACGACCAGCCATTTGACAACCGCTTGTTCCTACATTCTGAAGGTGTAGTATTTCCATTCAATGGGGTAGCTAGAAAGAGATCCCCATCCCATCTCCAATCATTCAAATCCCATTCCAAGCTCTTCTCCCCGAGATTCGAAGGTCCAGCCTCACACAACTGATGGGCTTCTGCCCCAAACCTAGCCTCCATTTCTCAGCCAAAGCACCAGACTTCTATCAAAATCAAATCTTGAACCCTTAACCTCAATCTGCCTCGCTTCTACACCAGAAATCAGAAAATATAACGCCCGCACAACCTTGGATCCAAACGAACGAAACCCACATGCCCAAACTTCAAAAACCCTAACAAACCCTGGACTGCGATTAAAGAACGCCAATCTCCATCATCAGCAGCAGCACAAGCCCGCATGATCAAGCAAGATTAAAGCATGCCTGAAGAATCTTAAACTGCTTCCATGGCTAACTTCTCCCCCCAAATCGCGAACCCTAGATTCTTGACCTGATTTCTGCGCTCGGGCTCAAAACTCTATCAAAATTTTTGATAAAACAACTTGAAAATTCCCAATAGGTGGGGGGAAGGATCGATCGAGGAAAGTAATTTGCAGCTGACAAAACAAAATAGAGTTCAAAAAAGGATTTGAAAATGATAAAATGGAGAAGCAAAAAAAGGGGAAAAGTCGAGAGAGCAGTTGATAGCGAGTAGACGATAAATGCGGTTTTCGTTCGCCGTGCGGAACACGGTACCGCCTTTTGGTTTGTCCGGCCCCAGAGGAGTTTCCGCACCCACTGACCGAGCGACTCGCTGACTCGCGGGCCCCAGCAGTGTGAGAGTCCGAAGTTCTCGTCCCCTAAAAGCGGTGAGGAGCTGAAGTGGCAGGTTAACGGCACCAGAGAACGGGTGGCTGGTGGGACCACACTGGCGGAGCTTTTTACCTGGGAAGAAAGTTTGACCGGATCGGCGCGTCAAAGTTGGGTTTGGACGGTAGGAAGCTATCTACTGAGGGTGGCCGCAACCGGGAGAGGAGGAGCCTGATCAGAGAATATTCGCCGTGTTTTTTTGCTTCACTAGTTTCTATTAAGGGGCTGTTTGGTTCCTTTCCTTGATATAGAAAAATGCAATTCCATGTAAAGAAACACAAGTTTTGAGTTTTTCAAACTTTTTCAAGAAATAGATTGTTTTGCGTTGGTTCACACATAAAAAATGGTGGGAAACCAATGTATTTATTTTTCTTGTGTTTGGTTCGCATAGAAAAAAAAAGAAAAACTTTTGTAAACAAATCATAGAAGGAAAAAAATCTGACGTGGTAGAGTTTTCATCAATTTCACTTGGTTGGGGAAGAAAATCGGAGAGGGAAAAAATCTTAGTTGGCGGCGATTTTAGCAGAGTTTTCCCTCTTCCATTCGAGCGAACCAAAGAGACACAAAAAAATGGACGGAAACAAAAAAGCTGACGTGGAGGGGTTTCTGAGTTTTCCACCCCTTATAATAGCGAACCAAACAGCCCCTAAATATCAAAAAAAAAATATTTTCTTGCTATAATAAAATAAGTCAGTTCATCTTGAATTAATCTTTATACATGGATTATTATATTTGACATAAATTTTATTTAAACTTTTTTTAAAATTTTATGGAACAGATTTGCGTGTAAAACCGGGATCGATATACTTTTATAAACTTGCATACGCAACATTATTTTTTAAATTTATATATATCAAACTTCATGTAACATACTTGTTTATCGAATCAAATCATCGATCTCCAATTTATTTATCTTAGTCACTAAATGTAGTGTTAAGTTTGAAAAAAATACAATAATGTATTGTTGATGTGTTAATAAAATATAACAAAATACTTAATATTAGGAAAAATTATTTCAAGGCCCCAAAATTAAATTGCTGATGTGTCCCAGCCCCTTGAACTTTTTTCAATGTGCTTTTTCCCCAAAATTGAAAAATCCATGTGAATCAGCCCTCTTTACAATTTCCAAGACAAAAAATTCCTAAACTACCCTCTTCTTCTTCTCCAGATCATTTCTAGATCTACTCCTCTTCCTACAAACCCATCTTCTCTTCCACCCTCTGTCTAACCTCACTCGAAACCTCTAACACCGCCGCTCCCTCCGTCACCCCTGTCTCTACCTCGCCAGAGGGTTCTGCAAGAACGGCAACAAGTGCAGGTTCCTCCACGACCTCAACGAGGACAAGCTCACCGCCGCCATGGCCTCGCCGCCGTCGACGTCGTCAGGTTTCCGTACCCCCTCGGGCAGCTTGCTGATGTCCTCGTTGTCGCCCATGAACCAGAGGTAGGTGAACGGGTCAATCGATGATCGACCGGAGTGAGTTTGATGTTGTTTGTTGTCATGTAAGCTTCAGTTGAACTGGGAAGGAGTTTGATGTTGTTCTCTGTGTAGTTTGATTGTTATTGATATTGCAAATTATATGGTAGGATTTTGAGAATGCATTGTGGTCATTGTTGGTTTGATAACATTTTTCTTGCTGATAACACTTTCAGAGAAGATGATGTCTCCAATTATTTTAGGTTACAGGAAATTTTCTTTTTGAACTTGTTGATGGTTTGACAATTATTGTTTGGGGTTAAAACTGATTTGGGTTCGTGTTATTTTCTATAGTATTTATGGGCCAGTTCAAGATGTGAGGATCCCCTAATCTCAACATGTTATGTTGGGGCTTGGATGTATATCAAAATCAAGAAAGAAGTAATAAACTCAGGGTGTGGTATGTATAAATGTTATACAAATTTGTGATGGTGATTTCTTATGTCTGCTGTTGTTTGTTGTTATGTAAGCTCCAGTTGAACTGAGAAGGAGTTTGGTGTTGTTCTCTGTGCAGTTAACTATTGTGGTTAGCATGTTAACTCCTGTAGATATCATGTTAACTCTTGTGGATAACATGTTAACTCTTGTGGATAACATGTTAACTTTTATGGATAACATGTTAACTCTTGTGGTTATATGTTAACTCTTGTGGCTAACATGTTAACTATTGTGGATAACATGTTAACTCTTGTGGCAAACATGTTAACTATATGAACTTGAACATGTTAACTCTTGGTGTTGTTCTCTGTGCAGTTAACTGTTGTGGTTAGCATGTTAACTCTTGTGGATATCATGTTAACTCTTGTGGATAACATGTTAACTCTT